GCAAAAGAAAGTGTGGGAAAATTGGGGGGTTTACTGAAAGGTAGACATCCATCATGTCAGCAGTTGATGTAGTGTTTGCTCCTGGGCAATTAGCAGGAGTTAGCAGGAAGGTGCCCTGGGCTTTCTAAAGAGTAAGGCTCACAGGTTAACCGTGGTACCAGGTTGCTGTCATTTTCAGGGATATATTTAGCGAGATGCTGTGGTTTTTACTATTCACTTTTTATATATAACCACTTTTCACTTCTGTATTTCTCTACCTTCCATTAAGAATTTTATTTCAAATCTAAAACTGGGTACAGTGGTTTAAGCCTATACTCTCAGTACTTCGTAACGTTGAGGCAGGAGTTTGAGGCCGCAGTGAGCTGTGATTGTGCCACTGTATTCCAGCTTGAATAATAGAGAGAGACCATGTCTCAAAAACAAAACAAACAAAAAGTCCATGTGTGGTAGCTGATATCTCTAATCCTAGTACGTTGGAAGGCCAAGGCAGGAGGATCACTTGAGCCTAGGAGTTTGAGGCCGCAGTGAGCTGTGATTGTGCCACTGTATTCCAGCTTGAATAATAGAGAGAGACCCTGCCCCTAAACAAACAAAAAAAAAGTATTGTATTTCTATTCTAAAAGGCTTTATTGTTTTATCCATGGCACTAAGTTAAGAATAAGAATGTGATTTATAATTCTTCTTTTTGATTGAAAAAATACTTTTTAGGTAACTGAATGTGAGATATTTCTGTCACTTCTGGTGAAATTTCTGGATGCAGATAAACCACAGTGGCTTCGAGCTGTGGCAGTGGAATCAATACACAGACTGTGTGTGCAGCCTCAGCTGCTAAGGTAGGACTTCAAGGTTACTTTGTTCAGTGGATAGGTTAATACTTACTAACCAATGGTAAGTCAGTAAGTTAGTAGGAAGGATTTAAATCTTTGTGATTTCTAAGCAAAATAGAGTACTGCATATTTATGGAGGGGCCGGATTAGGATGGGAAAGAACTGGGAGGTTGGTGACCAACATCAGTCTGGAATTACTGAGTTAATACAGCCCCGGTGATGTTTGTAGGACCTTGACCTCAATTACTAAACCTTTTTCCTGCATTAGTAACATCAGGTGTAATGAAGAGTTTTTGAGTAGAACATGGTAGTTATTATAGCAATCTCAGCTCCCATAAACAGTGTTGAAAATCTTTAGTCCAGTGTTTTCCCAGAAACATTTTAAATTATTTTCAGGTCGTTTTGTCAGTCCTACGATATGAAGCAGCATTCCACCAAAGTGTTCCGGGATATTGTGAACGCGCTGGGATCCTTCATCCAGTCTTTGTTTCTTGTCCCTCCTAGTGGGAATCCTGCTACAACCAACCAAGCTGGTAAAGGCATATTCGTATTTGGTTTTTTACATTCTGCCAGAATTTATAAGTCCACTATTCTCAGAGGACAGTTTGTAGAAATGCTATGACTAGAGAAATCTGGATTACCTAAATACATTGATACTAAAGGTTTACACTTAAGAATAATTTGATCAGGCGAGGCCTGTGGCTCAAAGGAGTAGGGCGCCAGCCCCATATGCTGAAGGTGGTCGGTTCAAACCCAGCAGCCCTGGCCAAAACCGGCAAAAAAAAAGAGTAATTTGAACTCACTGAAGCAACTTGGTTTCTTTCTTTCTAGAGTAGATTTTCTTCTCTGATATACTTTGGGTTCTGTTAATCACATAAGAATAAAAGTTTAGATGCTAATATTCATTTTAGAAGAAACTTCATTTGATGCTTCTCTAAAGAATTGAGGTGGTTACCACCTTGGGAGGTGTGTTTGTCTCTCTTTAACAAAAAGGGTTGACAGGTTTACGTTTGGGAATCATCATCAATCTTTATTGTCACCTCTGATAAAAAGTGATCTAACAAGAGGTATGCTAATAAATTTGTCAGTATTTTTACTTAACTCTAGTGGCTTTTATATAAAAAAGGAAATGGTATTTTGGGGAAACAGGGAGACTCTAATAGACAGAATTGATAAACTTTATTTGTGCAATAACCCTTCTGATAGTCCAGAACATTTTTTTAAAGATTGGCAAGTTGTTTAAATGTTACTGATTTGTAACCGAGTAGTAAATT